ACACACTATTGGTGCTAGGCTCTAAAACTGCAAGCAATCAACTACAACTACAAGGTAAGTAATTCTACTAGCTTTATTTGATTCAAGTTCCCCATGCCATGCTAGAGAGGATAAGAACCTTGGAAAAATAATTATTTGCATGTATCTTAGTCAAACATAGATCCAAGGTTTATAGGGTTGCATGTACACCATAGGATTGTTAGAATGCTGAAAACCCATCCAAAGGGACTGAATGGACTCGGCGAGTCGCAAGCTTGACTCGGCGAGTCATATGAAGATAGCCATGGACTCGACGAGTTAGATGAGCAACTCGGCGAGTCGGATGAGTTTTTCCCGAGAAAAGTAGTGATTGAGTGAAATGGATTCATTCCTTCGTAGTTACACGTAAAATCAGCAACTTTACCTGTTCAGATGGTCCCAGGGGCTCAGATCTACGAGTCAGAGGCCCTTGAATGGATTAGAATTCGATTGTATGGAATCTGCGATAGGACTCGGCGAGTTGTTCTTCGGACTTGACGAGTCGAGTCGCGAGTCCCCATTTTCCCTTCGAGTTGTAAGTTCATAGTGAATCAGTGAGTGGGAAAGGGGATCGGTGAGTTAAAGTCAGAGTTAGTAAAGGAGGGACTCGGCGAATCTGCGCCCTGACTCGGTGAGTCCAGTCAACTGAAAGTTTACTTTGACCAGGGAGTTGACCTTGACTAAGGCTAAAATAGTCATTTGACCCCGACAACATTTACCAGTAACTGATCTAGTGTTTTTGGAAATTGTAGTCGGACAGTTCCAGAGTAGCAGTCAGCCACTTTTAGAGTTAGCATCTCAGCAGCCAGCACTACGAGGTGAGTTTTCCTTCCAGTAGGAACAGGTCTACGACCACAATGTCGGCCCGTCTAGTTAGCAGTAGTTCCGAACTTTGGTCTGATGTAGTAGTTCAGTGTGCTTTATGTCTTTGTGATTCAAGCATGTCTTTGTGTTATGTGTTTCGGACTTCAGTCTGATGCAGTATGCAGTATACGTGTATATGCTAGTTGATATGTTTATGCTATGCTATGTTATGCTCAGACAGTTTCCGGACTTTGGTTCGATGCAGGGGACAAGGTCCTAGTCAGTTCCGGATTTCGATCCGATGCAGTTAGTTCCGGACTTCGTTCCGATGCAGGGGCAAGGTCCCAGTCAGTTCCAGATTTCGGTTCGATGCAGTTTCCGGACTTCGGTCTGATGCAGTGGGCAAGGCCCAATATGTGTTTATATGTTATTGTATGGTATGTGGTAGTATGGGGGAGCTCACTAAGCTTTGTGTTTACAGTTTCAGTTTGGTTTCAAGTACTTTCGCAATCAAAGGGAAGAGCTCGGGATGATGCCATTGCACACACCACAGCTTCAGCTTTTGTCCTGGGAGTTTATTTCAGATACTATGTTATGTTGTTACAGTTCTTTTGGTATGACACATCTATTATAACTTTTTGGGATTTATGACGTACGATTTTATGATATATTAGAAATCGTTGATAACCTTAGTACTATTTAAACAAAAAATTTTGGGTCGTATTTTGGGTCGTTACAACATACTTTCCCAGGAATACAATACAAAAGTTATAATATTATCTATTCTACATCTTCTACCAGTACAAAACTATAATGGATGCTTATTACCTACAATAGTTTAAACATTGAGAGGGATAAGCAGGTGACGCTTAGTGAGTTCGATAATAGTTACAATATAACATTATGTCGTATACATATCAATATGACAGAAGCATAGAGGGACAAGGAACAAGATAGGCAAATGGGTATCATATGACAGGCTTTCCATAACAACGAATAATTAGATTCAAAGATTTGAAATCAATGATACATAACAATTTTCTAACACTTGACATACATCAATAAGACTTCAGCCCAAGTGTCGTAGAAAATATAATTTCAGAATATCATTTCAGTAGAGTACACAGGCTTACATCCATGTTTTTGTATTCTGCTATGCCAAAGTGATGCTTATGTCATACACTTCATGGCCAAAGGCTACATACCAATACCCAAGTGATGCTTATGTCATACACTTCGTGGCCTAAGGTATAACTTATTATCATAATAAAATGGAAAAACACATTGAACATATAACACATAACATACAGTTGTCCTTATATTGAACTCACTGTGAATTAATCGGGGGTTAAAATAGTAATTTGTGCAGTACTTCGTTCTAATAGATAGCTTTCTTTGCTGATAACCGGGAGCTTTATTGAAAAACGGGCCCTACGAGGCTTGAGCTTCAAACCGAAAATATAAATTTATCGGGCTCTTTGGGCACTTCGGGACGTGTTTCGGGTGTTGGGAATGATCTCAGGGCTTCGGGGGAAGTTGAAATAGCTAAAAATTGGATTTAAAGGTAAAAAGTGTGAAATTTCCAATTAAGAATAGTTACTTTTAGGCTACCCTCAAGATCCAATTTCAATGTCATAGTTATTGATAATATTTTTTAATAATAGAATAGTTACTTTTAGGCTACCCTCAAGATCCAATTAAGCAAATAAAAGACAAGAATAATTTAGGAGAAATTAGTTTATTAAATTTTCATGACTTTATAATTTAATTAGAAGCTATTTTGGAATTAACTAATAATTATTTGATTAAATGGGTTGAATGTTAATTAATTAAATTGTTAATTAACTGGAACATTCCATAACCCTTAAGGGATAGAGGTAGACAAATTTGATAAGGTTTATGTAGGGTTTTGGAGTTGCTTTGGGACTAAGCAACTGAAGGCCAATAAATAGGGTGCTAGGGTTTAAACCCTATTGCTTATCCCCTCATAGAAATTATGACCCTTACTTCCTCTTCCTAAGGTAATCGAAATTTCGATCTTGCCTCCATTCTCTTAGTTTTCTTTTCTTTTTCTCTTTAGTGTTCTTGGATATGAACCATCAGAGAGATTCTATTGTGGGTCCTCTCATCCAAGTAAGGTGGCAAGAACTAGATCTGAAACAAGGATATAACTAAATTTAAAAGAGGTATGTAAACTTTCTTATTACTTTTCGTAGTTGTAATAATAGAATGAAACTTAGATTCATATAGGTTGCATGAACACATGTATTATTGTTTGTTTATTTTGCACATAATCGTGTCTTAGCATGTAGAAAACCTATAAAAAATAATACCAATGAGATCCACTAATGTTAAAACAATGTTATGTATCCTGGGAAGTTTTAGAGTTTGTTACATAATCACAATAAACACAAGGTTGGTCGCGTACCGACAATCAATGCCTTGAGGATAAGCTCATGCACTTTAGTTAGGATCGTTTTGAGGATAAAATGCACAAATATGTATATAGTTAATAGTTTAAGGTGGGAAAAAGATGCTAATTGTAACATCCTAAAATATAGAGTAAATCTTTCATTTTAAATAATATAAAACCATTTATTTCCATTCCATCAAAGATAACCAAAGTATATAAAATGTAGTCTCGTCAAACATTAGATTAAAATATAAAACATATAGTGTGGAATTCTTTGGAGGATGTCATGCAATCAGGTTGGGTTCTTCCCTTCCTAACAGAAGTACCTGAAACATTTAAACTTAAACCATAAGCATAAATCTTAGTGATTTCTTTCCCAAGATATCACATACAACACAAGTAACGAGACCCACCCTACATAATGGACTCATCCTGAGTATTTGGCCCCACCCTAAGTATTGGGCCCCGTCATGAATAATGGGATCCACCCAACATAACATAAAAACATGCCCCAACTAACAAACACATAAACATACTACAAGAGTTATAAAGACAACAAGCATTTAATGACACTCCGTGTCCAAACATAGTATAGTGAAAAGACTCACCTCACAGTCAAAGCAGACAATCACCACAACTCGCAGGAAACATAATACTACAAACCACTTAAACACTAATTAAAAGGTCAAATATCAGTCTATGACCTAAAACCCTAAAGTTTGACCTAAAGTAAAACTTAGTTAAAAGGTCAAAAAGTCAACAACTTGGCTAAACAGGTGCCCCATGCCTCATAAGGACGCCCCACGCCCACAAAATGACAAAACAATAAGTTTTCTCAACTTAAACAAGTGTATTTCAAAAAGACATGTTGCGTGTGGGAAAGACACATTGCGCCCATGTCATATTCATAAGGCAAAATGACTTATTCTATTAAGTCAATCCTCCACACTTCTAGATTTGGTCCTTAACAACGTATTAATGGATAAAGTTTTCAACTTTATCCATTAAGACACTCCAATCCAACCAGATCTAAACTTTAAACATCAAAAAGACCTAAAGTGTCTATAGAACTTGCATGGCTTAGAGAACATGCACAAGATACCAACTTTCCAAGTCCAAATGGTCCATATAACCACCCTAAGTGTTTCAAAAAAGTTGGAGTCATCTCAACCCCGATCCTCTTTTCTTGTCATGTACATTTAATATAGGTTATGCGGTTGTCCCACATGTTGACCTTTGTAGGTCCTTTCGTCATTAGCTTCGACCTTATTGCAAATAACATATTTTACTTATCTTAGTTAGCAGATGTTCCGACCATTGTTACCTCCAATCTCATAACTTCTTTCACATTGAGCCTACACATTTTTGTGGGCTAATATTGGAGGGGGTCAGATCACGGTGTTGGTCAAATAGTTTTTTTTGTTTGAAATAATAAATTTAATCTATTTTTAATTTCACATATGTTTTAGAAGAGATTTGAACCGTGACAAAATTAGATATTGTTGGGCTAGAAGCATGTTAGTCAAATTAAAAACCTTAAAAATAAGATTTTTTTTATCCAAGACTAAAGAAATTACTAATTACCATTTACCAACCACATTTAAATAGTTTACTCAAAAATGAAAAAACCAAAGAGCTACCCAAGTTTGAATTGAAGAAGTTAACGAAGAGCCCACATACTTCACTTAAATACACATATTGCCACTTAATCTCCTCCATAAAGAACCGGTGCTTCTCTACCCATTTTTGAATTTGCATCGACACGATGTCACAAGAAGTCTACAGCGGCGGCGGTGGTAACGGTGGCGACGGTGCGGCCCCTCAGCTATACTTCTGTTACCAATGCAACCGTACGGTGTCCATCAGACCATCGCCCACCGCCTTCTCTGAACTCGTTTGTCCCAATTGCAACGGTGGGTTCCTAGAGGAATACGAAAACCCTAACCCTAGGCCGGAAACCCCAAATCCTTTTCTTGCCTTCGAAGATCCTTCGCCTTTCTCCTCTTTCTCCTCTGGCTTCCCGCTCGTTTTCTCCACCACTTCCCGTGCCGGCGCTGGGAGTGGCGATTTCCAGAATCCCAATGATCTATCGGCACTCTTTGGTGGTCCGATGTCTCGACCTGGAGGTGTCCAGAGCCCTGGAGAGTTTAATCCTTTTGCATTTCTACAGAATTATCTCAACACCTTACGAGCAGGTGGGGCGAACATCCAGTTTGTTATTGAAAACAACACAGATGGAGATCCGTCGGGGTTTCGTCTCCCATCGAATCTCGGTGATTACTTCATTGGTCCTGGGTTAGAACAATTGATTCAACAGCTTGCTGAAAATGATCCTAATCGATATGGCACTCCCCCTGCATCAAAATCAGCCGTCGAAAACCTTCCTAATATCAAGATCACGAAACAGTTGTTGGAGTCAGATTACTCCGATTGTGCAGTTTGTAAAGACAGCTTTGAACTTGATGAGGAGGCGAAACAGTTGCCATGTAAGCACATGTACCATCAGGATTGCATTTTGCCGTGGTTGGAGCTGCATAACTCCTGTCCTGTTTGCCGGTATGAGTTGCCTACGGACGACCCAGATTATGAGAACAGGTCACGCCAAGCTTCTAGCGGTGGTGGTTCTGTAGGCGCTGCAGCGTCTGGTGGTGGTTCTCAAGATAATCCTCTGACACCAAGGACTCTGGAGAGAAGGTTTAGGATAAACCTGCCATGGCCTTTCACGGGATCCAGTACGCCTGCTGAGACAAGCAATAGTGGAGCAGGGAACAACAATTCTGGAGATCCCAACCAGGGGAGTGGTGGTCACGCTAGACAAGAAGATCTTGACTAAAGACAGGTCCGTGTGAATGTGATCACCTTACCGTATCTTGACAAGTACTCATTTTCTATCATTCATATGTGTCTATCTGATATTATGGTTGTGCAAGATCGAAATTTTCATTGATTTCGTCTCTTTGATCAGTTTGTCTCAGTTGTGATTCATTCAAGAATTGACTCGACCTCTTCCCTATATTAGAAAGCACTTGCATATTTCATATATAGAGCCTTACACCACAGTTGTTATGGTATTATCTTGGCGTCATGCTGTTGTACAATTGTGGTGGCGTCCTCTTGCCTTAAGCACTAAGGCAGATTAATCAGTTTTTTTTTTTTTTTTTTTTTTTTTTTTTTTTTTTTTTTTTCTTTTTCTTGTATGTTCACATTACTGGTTCCTGTTTTTTGCTATTCCATCTGCCTTTTCACTTTTTTTCTATTTCGTCCTGTATCTTATTACATGTACTGCAGATGTAAATAGCATCTATTTGTTTGTCTATCACTTTTTCTTCTGTAGTCATCTGTTTCTATATTTTCTCTTATGTGGTCAGTGTATATCTATTATTTACCACTGTTTACAGCACCAGTAAAATGCTTTTCACAGGAGCAGGAAACACTGTTTACCGTTATTTGTTAGTTTGTATATTGATTTTATTTACTTCTCTTTTATACTTATTTGTTTGCTTTATATTGTTTATCAGTTACATTGATTTTGATCGGTTTTTGATTTTATTTTTGAGTATTTGGTCCATCTCGAAGAAGTTGAAGAGTAAGCAATGTACAATTGTACACTATTTAATAATGCGCAATGTACACTATTTTATACGGTATTGTTTTTTTTTTTCTTTTGAAAGTTCAATTCTTTTATGACCTAAAGTTTGTTTTTAACATGACTTTAGATTCTGGTTGAGTAATGTTTTCTAAATGCACTCGAATATTGTGGAATTCATTCTCTCTCAATGTGTTGAAACCACATTTTTTGTTATTTCCCAAGTATATTATGTGAATATAAGATTATTTGGTATGTATGCATATATAATCACTTCTTCTGAGTTCAATGATATATTTATTCTTTCATTTCTTCAATATTGGGTACTCTGTCTTTTTGACCTACTACATTTTTTTTGCACATGAACTCTGCAAGTTTGTAATTTTTTATGTTTGGTTTCTAATATGATATATGTATTTGTTATTAAGGGGTATTTTTTACTTCAAGTTGGAAGGAAATTAGTTACTAGATCCTATCACTAGTTGATTTCAGTGTTTATTTGGTAATCACAAACCTGAAAGAACTTAACAATTATAGTAGCATAAACCCAAAAGACACAATTGTTTTTATATTTTACTTGATGTGTACAGAGGGAAAGGAAGAATTGAAGGTGGTGTACTATGTTGAACATACAGTGGAATCTTCTTCTTGGTCTTATATACATGGAAGATTAGAGAGAAAGAAAGAAATAGATTGATGATGTATCTTTTAGCAAGCATTTTAATAATCACATTTACATGCATGCTTTTCAAACTTCTTATCTCTGCACCTTTTTGATCATGTGGTAATACACAATTGTTATGCATGCATCACTTTTCGTATAAAATCATTTTCATGTTCTTCTATATTTGGTTGAGGAACATGAAACTTGAAAAGGTGGTTTTGGGTTGGGGCCCACATCAACAATAATACTACAATAATTGATTAAAAAAGTACAATACTGAGGTTAAAATAGTATTTTTACACCTATTTAACGTAAGGTATTAAAGGGGTATCTATGACGAGGGCAAATTGAAACCACCTTTATTTTGTGTTTTGACGACGTCGACAATTGTTCTCTTGGTTAGATATGTTAACATATTATATGACATATCTAACATAAGTGTTGGTATAAATAATTATAACTTATTCGATTCATATTAACAATAAAAACGTGACAAACCATCGAATGAGTATTTGGACACATTTTTATGGAAATAATTGTTGCGACTTTTTAAAATCAAGATTGGGTGGTGGTGGTGGGTTACATAAAAATCCAAAAGTTTGATGTTTTCTACTGTTTAAACCTAAATTATGTTGGCTTTGGTTCTGGCTGGTGGGCACATAATCATCACCACCACATATTGCTGCAAGAAGACTAGAATACCCATTGAGACATTTCTTTCTAACGTATGTTGAACTTGAGTTAGTTTTTAAGCAATGTCATGTTAAAGGAGCCAAACAATTTGCATCAATGGAATATTTGTTACATCTCTCAACTTGAGAAGGCTCTTACCCTTGGTGCTGACATTATTCTACACTCAACAACTTACATTAGTAATCAAAATGATGTGTTAGCTCTTTGTTGGTTGCATTAGCAGGTCTACTGAAATAATTTCTTAAGTTTGTAACTTGCATCATATTTTAGGTGGTGCACCCAATCTTACAAGTACCTTATTATTGAATAATATTGTTTTAACATCCTTTTAGCTGTATTTTTTTTTGACATATAGTACTAAAGTATCTTTGATTTGATTGATATAAAGGGTGTGTTAAGATTTTGATATTTAGTTTGATGCAAGAATGTTGCATATTGAATCATTTCAGCAAGGGAAAATGACACATTGTCCTGCTATGTATTTGAACTTTGCCTTTTTGGTCACTAAAGATTTTTTCTGTCTTTTAGGAACAAAGTTATTAGTGACTTTTTTTTAGACCCTCTACCTTTAGTAGCAAGTTTCATGTGTCGAGATGGATTTTCAGTTAATTTAAAAAATAAATGAAATCTCTCTCTCTCTCTCTCTCTCTCTCTCTCTCTCTCTCCAAATTCTTCATATGTCTCACAAACCACCGAGCAACTTTGAAGCTTGCTTCACATCGCCAACTGTGAACAATCATCGCTGCCTATTGTTGTCGGTGCTTGGTGTGTTTCTAAACCCAAAATGTTGACCACCCATTTTCTTCTTTCTTTCATTTTCATCACCTGGATCGACTAAAATCAATTGTGCTCCTAACAAGATTAAAACTTTGAAGAAAACTCTACGAATCAACCTAGTATTGTTCTTGATGAGATCAGAGCTCAATGGCCTCAATGGCCCCACCATCTGTAAACAATTGCCCAATAATGAAAGTGATAGAGAGGGATGACAACAACCTAGACATAGTTAACCAACAAATCACACCTCATTCATTAATCCCTATCTTCTTCAAATCCACACACATTTCATAGTTTCTGTTTGAGAACAAAGTTACATAGCCCAAAATCAGATACTTTATTCGACTATTCCTAATTTATTCTTTCCGGCCATGAACGTGTCTTAGAGGTGAAAAATCGTTAAGCAAAAGCGATGATCCACATTCTTCTATAAAGCTCGGAATTGTCTCTATTGCTTCTCCCTACATCGTCTCTCAATTCAGTAACGAATGCGATATCAAAATTGAAATTATGAATCGTGAACTATAACTTACCTGGAATAAAAAGAAAGGTATTTGAAGAGTTTGTTCGATTTTGTTATAAACCTGTTGTAATCCTTATAGCATAAACCCTAGTTGAATCAACGAACAGTTTCTGTTTGAGAACAAAGTTACAGAGCCCACATTCGATTTTCGTTATGAAGTTGTGTGAATCACCGAACAATTGTGTTTCAATCGATGATCTCAAAACATCCAGTTGTATAAAGGACCAACATTAGATGACAAAAATGGCGGTTAAAGATGATGGTGGATTCCCTCCTTAAGAACCCTAATTCTGTGTAATTGGACAACGGTTGATTCAATTAGAAAGGTAGAAGAAGCGGTGGTGCATTCTATCAAAAGGTGGGGTTTTATGTGTGTGTGTGTGAGAAAGATGCATATGAACCAAAAGTAAAAAGTCAATGTCCATGTGGCAAAGGGGTAACCCAGTTATCCCTTCATTTTGTCAAAAGTGACCAAATCGATACGACAAAAACAGTTTATTCACTTAAGAGGTACGAGAAAAACTTTAGAGATTGAATGAGTAAAGTCGAAATACATAATATGGCCGTTGCATCATTTTCCCTTCTAGAAATGGCATCGCTACATCTACATGTTGTTATCATGGAAAATAATAATATAAAGTTATAATAAAAGTGATATCAAATAAAATTAGTTGTATAAAAGATCTTATAGTACGATTTCTTCCGTTTAAATATTTTTCTAATTTAAAAGAAGATCTTATAATTTTTCATTTTTCTCGATTTGGTTCTTTATCAGGTTCACCGTTAACCTTTTAGTTTTACACATTTTTTTTTCTAAAAAAAAATCTCATTTTTTTATACAAAACCAGTGAACTTTACTTTATCGAAAACAAAACCATATTTTACAAAACTTTTTTTTTGTGGACAAACCTGTTCATTTTGACTTTTTTTTTTTTATAAACAAATCTTAAGGAAACATTTGACCTTTTTAAAATAAAAATAAAGAATGACTTGTCTAGTTATTGGTAAAATACATATTAAAATCTACGACGCTCAAATATTTTAACAGTTAGAGAACAATAGTTAAAATAAGTTGAAATCTTAGATTTTTTAGAACAAATCAAAATGTCAGCTTCTAAATACTAATCAATGTCTATATATTTTGCTTTTATATGTCAATGACTTCCAAGGAAAAGGCATGAATTTTATACACATGTAAGGTTGGATGTTGAAATTGAGAGTTCAAACTCCCGCAAACCCTTTTTAAAAAATTATTTTCTCATGCGGAGAATTTCTCTCTAGAATCCTTATGGGGTAGTCTTTACCTTATTTGATGATTCGATCTTAGGATCTTCGTTGAAATAATATGAAAAAGCTTCTGTTGACATATGCCGCCGTTCCTAAAAATATATATTTTGTTATATATGTTACTATTGATGAAAAAAAAAGTCTCAAATGAATCTAATGATATTATTATGGATTAAATTATTTTTGAGATTGAAAATATTTCTAACAAAGAAAACATAAAAGTTAAAATTATATTCAAACATAGATCAATGCTTGGAAGTTGTCATTCTCTTTGATCCCAAAAATATTCTAAAATGTCAATACAACTTAAACCGTTGTTCTTCACCTGCTATAATCATCAAGCAGTTTGCAGTAAAATTTAAGAAGTATTTTCCGATATCTTTTTTTTTTGTTTTGAAAAAAATGAAATGTTTTCTTCAAAATTTAATATTGAAAAACTATCAAAAACACCGCAAAATACAAAAAAAGTTATGAGTTTGTGCGAAAAGTGTCAGTTTTCATGAATTAGAAAATAAAAATTAAGAGTATTATCGATAAATAAATAAAATTAGAAGATTAATAATAAACTTGCTAGAATAGTGGAATAAAAAAGGGAAAATGATTTAAAAAGGTAATGAAGTTTAAAAAATGTACAAAAAATACCATTGTTTTATTTTTAGTACTTAAAATACCATTAAACTATATTTTTTATACACAAAATACCAATGAAGTATATATGTGTTCAAATAAAACCTTGTGGGTAACCTACAATAACCGGTAAAATGGTATTTTGTGTACAAAAAAAAAAACAATGGTCTTTTTTGTATATTTTTGAAATTTCGTTACCTTTTTAAGTCATTTTTCCTTCTTTGAATGTAATAGAAATTTAGCTACTTTTTATAAAGAACCCTCCACTTCACTTCGGCCACTACTGTTCTTCATCGCCAACCTCCACCACCATGGAAAAACCCTTTTTCTTATTCTTCCTCCTAATAATCTGCCTACTTTAATCAATGCCGGAATCTTGCCGGCCACCTCCGTTTCTCGGCAAATCCCCACGGCTTCTCAAAACCCAAAACATTCTTGTTCAGCCGATGTATACTTACGAGACACGATACTTTGATCAGACTCTTGATCATTTCAGCTTCAATGATCTTCCCAAGTTCCAACGACGTTATCTCATCAACTCCGATCACTGGGTGGGCCCAAGCCCTAATCGTTTGGGACCAATCTTCCTTTACTGCGGCAACGAAGGCGACATCGGATGGTTCGCTGCCAACACCGACTTCGTTTGGGAACTCGCCCCTCGTTTTGGTGCCATGGTCATCTTCCCCGAAGTAAAAGCCCTAATCACTCTACTCTACATTAATTTCTTCACTTGCAGACCTTTAATAATACAATTTTATCAAAAGCTGCGTGATTTGATCTAGCATCGATATTATGGTGAATTGATGTCATATGGAAGCCAAAAAGAGGCATACAAGAACGCTTCTACTTTAGCTTATCTAACAGTCGAACAAACACTTGCTGATTACGCTCTTCTCATCACCGATTTGAAGAAAAATTTGTCAGCCGAAGCGTCACCTGTAATCTTGTTCGGCGGATCATACGGTGGAAGTAAGATCTTTTCCAACAATTTCAACAAAAATTAAACAAGCACTTGCTGATTACGCTCTTCTCATCCCATTTACCTGAAGTACCTGGTTACCAGAATGTTTTAGTTGAACACATGTGTATTTTGTTGGTATTCTGTGTACAAATAGTAACATTAATGGTATTTTTTGTATTAAAAAAACAACAATGGTATTTTTTGAACATTTGAAAACCGGATAACTTATAATAACCGGTAAAATGGTATTTTGTGTACAAAAAAAACTACAATGGTCTTTTTTGTACTTTTTTGAAACTTCGTTACCTTTTTAAATTATTTTCCCAATAAAAAAAATAAAAATATATATAATGGTTTTTTTTATGAAATATATATATATATATATATATATATATATATATATATATATATATATATATATATATATATATATATATATTAGATTTAAAGAGATTTATTTTTCAATACAAAATGTGAAATGCCCCCCTATAGTTTTTACATAAAGGATAAATATATGGATTTTGGGTAAGATAGATGATAGATCCAATATCCAGTCCATCTAGCGGCCATGAGACACGGTCTACGTATTCACACGAGAAGGTAAGGATTCTCGTCTTTTTTTACATCTCTCACTCACTCATTGATGACAGTGCGTTTTTTCCGATCTTAATTCTCTCCTTCCCTCCCTCCCTGCGATTGCGATTCTATCTCACCCCCACCCCCATTTTTGGATCTTTCTTCAAAGTTTATCCTTTTCCAAACATTTACTTCTTCATATATTCAATCATATCCCGGCCCTCTTCCCTTCCTTCTTTCTTTCTTTATACATTAAATTATATATATATATGTATGTAATCCACAATCCACATACATACATACTTTCCTCATTTGACCACTCATCTCATTAATTATAGATGCATACCTGTGTTGTATCTGCATACCAGTAATTTATACCTATCTATCTGTCTCATTATATTACCTTCTCTCAATCCTTTGATCTGAGGTACACACTGCTTTCAATTCAATTCGACTTGTTTTCAATCAGTTCCAAACACGAAGTTCCAACAAATCCTCGACTTGAAAACATTATTCCGTGAATTGTTGATTGAATACCTAAATTGATCGATTCCATTTCCTTCGGTATCTCTCATGGTTTTGGTTTTGGGAGAGAAAAGTGATTTGATTTGATTTGTTTGCATGTTGGATCTGTTATTGAATCGGTACACTCCTTTTTCTCTCGAATATATATATCTTCCTTCTTCGTCATACATCTGATTTGTTGTTGATATCAAATGGGTATCATCTTCGAAATCCAAAGAATCATCCGTATCTTAATGCACGAGAATCTGTAGATGAATTGTTGATTCAGAGGAACGACGCAAACACGAAGGGTTTCGTGTCTGTAAAAGGATCTGTAACGGATCCATCAACTGAAAATAGGGGGTTTGGTTGCACGGCTGTTCTGGAGTGCATATTGAGTATTATCAGGGCCCTAAGGATGGGGTCCTGCTTATCCGGAGAAAGCAGGAGCCCTCACCCAAGCTCTCCATCACCGACTTTCAGTATCAGAAAGAGGAAAAACGCTAAGAAAAAAACCTCCCGGAGCTCTTCTTTCAATTCCCAGAGGGAGGAGCACCTCCACCGGATTCCCGGAAGAATGTTCTTAAACGGATCTAGTCAGGCCGCATCACTCTTCACCCAACAAGGCAAAAAGGGTACCAATCAGGACGCCATGATTGTTTGGGAGGTTTGCCCCTATGTATCTCTGATTCTCTTCCATGATTCTTCTTTGATTATATGATTCTGATTGTTTATTCATTTAATTATTTATTTTTTTAGAATTTTGGATCAAGAACAGACACGGTGTTCTGTGGTGTTTTTGATGGGCATGGGCCGTTTGGTCATATGGTTGCAAAAAGAGTGAGGGACTCTCTTCCTTTAAAGCTGAGTGCACATTGGGAACTGAATATAAAGGGAAGTAATGATGTCCTACGAGAAGTCAACCTTAATCATGAAGTAGAAACCCCATTAACTGGTGATGATGATTCCAGGCTTCTCATGGATCTTGAAATCAATAAGAATCCTGAGAAATTACAGGCCTTGAAGGACACGTTTTTGAAGGCGTTTAAAGTCATGGATAGGGAACTCAGAATGTATGCAAATATCGATTGCTTCTGTAGTGGGACAACTGCAGTGACTTTGATTAAACAGGTATGATATGAAAAAGTTTATAGTTTTCGTGTTGGATTTGAAATTGATAGTGAATGATTTTTTGTTTGTTGTTGTAGGGTCATGATCTTGTAATTGGAAATGTTGGAGACTCAAGAGCGATATTGTGTACAAGAGATAATAAAAGTAATTCTCTTGTTGCTGTTCAGTTGACTGTGGATTTGAAACCAAATCTTCCAGGTTCCTTTCTCTTAATTTTCTCTGTTTCTGATTCAGAATCAAATGCATTTGGAGTTGCTAATGAAATGAAATGATTGATTGTTTCAGCTGAAGCAGAACGAATCCGTAGATGCAAAGGTCGTGTTTTCGCTCTTCAAGATGAACCAGAAGTGACTAGGGTTTGGCTACCCAATAACGATTCACCAGGTCTAGCCATGGCGCGTGCATTCGGCGACTTTTGCCTCAAGGATTTCGGCCTCATCTCCGTTCCCGATATCTTCTACCGCCGTTTAACACAAAACGATCAATTCGTCGTCTTAGCATCAGACGGGGTACAATTTACAACTTCTTAATTTCTCACCATTTTCAATCGGTTTTTCATGTTCTTATTTGAAAACAAATGACAGATCTGGGATGTGCTAACGAATAAAGATGTTGTGGACATCGTAGCTTCTGCTGAATCACGTTCATGTGCGGCTAGGGCGGTGGTTGAGGCGGCGGTGAGGGCATGGAAGTACAGGTATCCGACTTCTAAAGTGGATGATTGTGCAGTCGTTTGCCTTTTTCTTTCCCCGCATTCGAACAATAATATCTCGACGGCTTCCGCCGCTGATCTGGTGGATAAAAAGGAGCCGATCTCTTTGCAATCGAAACCGAGTGAAGCATTGGCGCCAGCGGCGGCGGAAGAAGGAGCCGATGCAGATGAGGAGTTGGCGGATGCTGAGCTGGCGGGAACGCTAGACGACGACCAGTCGACGATGGAGACGGAAGGTGGAATTGACTGGTCTGCCCTTGAAGGCGTGGCACGTGTCAACACATTGTTAACTTTGCCGCGGTTCGTGCCGGAGGAGGACGGAAAACAGCCACCGGGAAACAAAAAGACCAATTGAAGACGACGGAGACTGACGGATTCTTGGAAATTTATTTTCGGATGCGTTTTGATTTTTTGTTCATTTTTGTGGTTTGTTTGATTAAAATAATTGAAAATTGAAAAGGGAAAAAAAAAGATTAAAGAACAAAAAGCCTCGACTATATTAGAGCGTTGGGGCAGAATCGTAATTTTGTAAAACCAGCTCTTCTTGGGTATATTTTGTTTTCTGTTTTTTATTTATTATTTTTTGTTATATTCAAACTGTGTCATTTGTTAATCAAAATAATATTGTTACATCAGAGATTTTGTGCTTTTCTGAGTCGATCTAAATTCGTTTAATGTTTTCATAATATCGATTTCGAATTTGGTGAGTGAAATATTTGTATCGGGATTTAATTCGTATATGTTCAATATCTTACTGAGTAGGAGGTCAAATACCAAGTGAAATATGTTATTTTTATAAAGGCAATCAAATCACTGAAAAGGTTTTACTTAGAACTTTTATGAAGAAAACAAAGTTTTTTGTTTGCTGATTTATTTTATATTATTATTTTTTTTAACGTCTCGGAACTTTTATAAAGACAACAAAGTTTTTTGTTTGCTGATTTTATTTTATTATTATTATTCCTTTTGAACGTCTCCTTTGCTTGGGGTTGAACCCAACAAAGTTATTTGTTTGTTTGTTTGCTGATTAGTTAGGTGTTTAAGATTGCTTTTTAAAATCACATGTTACCTTATTGAATTTTTGGAAAAACCAATAAATTAAAAAGATGTTTCAAAAAAAAGCTTTTGAAATGACTTTTTGGCAAAGAAGAAAATAAAAGTTTAAAGAGGTCACAAAAACATGTTTTTTTTTTTTTTAGAAAAGTCATAATTTTTTTTGAACGACAAAATATTTACTAAACCACTAACAAGAAGCCAGAGGAACAAAGAAACAAGAAACATAATGAGATAAAAGCAAATTACATGTGTGACAAAGGAAAAATACACCACGATTCCCCGTTCAAAGAGAAAACCATTCCTTCTATTTTTAATCCATAAGAAAGCCAATGTTTTATGTCTTTAAAGACATTTGATGGAGATGCGTATAGTTTGTTGAAGATCAAATCATTCATTGCTCTCCATATTCCCTGTAGGGTAGTTAGAAAAACAACATGTAAGACCTTTTGGTAGGATGATCCTTTAAAGTAATTGTGTTTTCTTGATAGAAGATCTTCAATTGATGTGGCATGAGTTACATTCACATCACACCATGTTTGTATTAAGAGCCAAATCTCCTTTACCCATTGACAATCAAGTAGAATGTGAATGGAAGATTCCACCTCCAACCCACAAGATTCACACAACATCGAGTCCATTCTAACACCTTGCTTTTCCAGATCTATTTTGGAGGGTAAACGGTTCAACACAGATCTCCATCCGAAGAAGTTGATCTTAATTGGACCAATTTATTCCAAAAATGCTTATATGCTAACAGAGTGCATACATTAGATTCCCACAAACCTCTGAGAGAGCTCACATAAAACTTTCCATCTAAGTTGTCGAGCCATTTCCAAGTGTCATTGGAGTTATGGAAGACATCCACATTAATCTCCAGTGTACATTTGTTTAGCTCATCCAGTTTAATCAAAGATCTAGGCATTCGACTCCAACTCCATAAGCAAAGAGGTACACCATCCGATTTGGTGCATCTATCCATAATTGTGCATTGTTTTATGGATTCTGATTTAAACAAAGATGGGTATTTCTCTTTCAAAGTATAATTACATAACCATTTTTCATACCAAAATGATGTCAGGTTCCCACATTCAAATTCTTTTTTAAAAAGGGCTTGCAAATCAATGTTATGAACCTGGAAATAACTTGTAATACTTATAATATTCTTCCAAACCCCAAAAACCGCCAATCTGACAGGAAACATCTTCCAGGATCTCACCATCTAATGTATTGAGACAACCAGCTTTACCAAAGGGCAGATGGTTATGTTTTCAATAGCAACAACCATTTAGCAAGCAGTGAGAGGTTGGTAGCTCTCAAACTTAGTACTCCTAGGCCTCCTAATTTTTTTTGGAGTTAATACTTTGTCTCATGCTATCCAACAGATCTTAGAACCCGAGTTGCTTCCGCCCCATAAGAACTTCCTTCTGATTCTTTCTAAGTCCCCAATCACCTTTAAAGGTGCTTTGCACATTGAGAAATAAAATCTCAGTAGACTACCAAGCAACTGAATTAAGAAGTGTAATCCTTCCTCTAAATGATAATGTGTTAGCTTTCCATGACGACTGTTACCATTGGAATTTTTGAGTAATGGGATCCCAATTTTTAATGAGTAACCCGTTGGCACCCACTAATAAGCCCAAATAGGTGAATGGGAATGAAGATGCTTGGCAGTGGAGAAATTAAGCAAAAGATCCGATTTCATTCTTGTAACAACCGAAAAAAATCCAACCAATTTAAATTTTTCAAAAACAACCCGATTTCATTAAATTGTTTACAAAAAGGTTTTCAATACAAATCATTTAGAGTATTCCCAGAATTACATTGCTACAAAATCATGAGGAGCGGTACGATCACGCCTTCGCCTTGCCACAGTCTCCTGAAGAACCTGAAAAACATTAAACCACAACTGTAAGCCCAAAAGCTTAGTGAGATACCCCCAAAATACCAACCACTTATACCATACACATATCACTCTATCTCATAACGAATCACAGAACAGCCATGCATATCGGGTCTACTGTGGGACTGGTCCGCCTTGCAGGGCCTTCAGTCCACCTGGTCCAACCTCCGTGTCCAATCATGTCCCTTGAGTCTACAGTGTGGTTGGTCCGCCCGCACTGGGCCTTCAACTCACCTGGTCCACTCTCTGAGTCTACAGTATGACTGGTCCGCCCGCATCAGGCCTTCAGTCGGCCTGGTCCACTCTCCGAGCCTCGGCACGTCTGGTCCGCCCTCGTGGGGCCTACAGCCTATCCGGTCCGCTTGCTGGGCCTTCGAAATAACCGGTCCGTCCTGGGTATCTTGGCCTACAGCACAAAGCAGGACCCGCCTCAACCCAACTCCAATCCAAACAACCATGTGCACATAAACATACAATCACATAACAATTCATATTCAGGCAAACCGATCTAGCAAATCACATAACACAACATACTCTAACAGGATACCGACCTAACCGGTCACTAGCATAGCATCATCCTCTCTACCAGGATATTGACCTTAACCAGGTCCCTAACGAATACCATCCTAACTATCAGGATGGAAACATATCAAAACAATAACATAACAATAGATACCCAGATCTCAATCCGATAAAAGGGCCGGCCTTGGTGCCTTAGACCCTGTTGATATAGTGAGGATAACTCACCTCGAAACTGCCGGCTGAAAGGATAAGATCCCGCTGCTCCGAACTCCGACACGAACTCCTTCACTGAACACCAAAACACTTAACTCAATATATACCCTTATTTACCAAAATACCCCTGGAAGACAACTGGTCAACCCTTGGACAAGGTCAAAGTCAACCCCTGATTGACTCTACTCGCCGAGTCAACCCGATGACTCGCCGAGTCCCCAAGCTCAGAACTTTCCTCAATTCGCTACCTGACTCGCCGAGTCACCCCGAGACTTGCTGAGTCCAACCACTCTGAGTCCACCCGCACCCAACTCACCGAGTCATCCCTTGACTCACCGATTCTCGACTCATCCAGAAAATAATGGGACTCTTCGACAAGACTCGCCGAGTCCAAGAACAGACTCGCCGAGTCTAAGGCTATCTTCAACCTACTCGCCGAGTTGTTCATCCAACTCGTCGAGTTCCAGCTCATCTTCAAGCAACTCGTCGAGTCCACCCTTGTGACTCGCCGAGTACCACCGGTCTGAATCCATACAGAAGCATTCCAGGCCATGCAATTGATCCAAAACATAGATCTAGCCTCCTACAACCCATCCATCACGTAAAGTGGCAAACTTTACGTGAATCCAAGAAGATCTAGGCATTATACACATTAGGGCTAAAGTTTGGGACAAGATAGCTTCTCTACATACTCAATCACAGGGAGTTTCAGGCATTCCAACCCTCATCCATTCCAGATCTGAGGTAGCAACCTCAGATCTAACCTCTAGACTCCAAAACACCAAAATATGTGATCTCAACACCCCCAAAAATGAAGAATCTAGACAATAGCAGCTCAAGAACGAGATATTACCTTCAAAGAATGCCCCAACAGCAATGAAACTCGAATCCAAGCAAATCCAAGACTTTTCTCCTTCACGATTTCTTCAACTAGCACTTCTCCAAGCTCCAATTTGCCCAAAAATGGTGTTCCTCCATGAAATTAGGGTTTCTGGGGCTCAAGGGGAAACAAAGAGGCTGGGGAGGAAACATAACGTTCTTTATATAGAGCTCAACCCCGAGAATTAGGGTTTTCTCCACCCAGCACCTACTCGTCGAGTCCATCTTTGGACTCGCCGAGTAGGCCATTTGACACGCGACCAAAGTCGCGACCCTACTCGCCGAGTCCATCCATGGACTCGCCGAGTTGCCCTCCAAAACTTACACTTTTAGTCCTTCAACTCTACTCTTGCTATTCCAGGATGTTACAATTCTGATTAACCCTAACACCAAAAACTTTACTTTTTGAGAAATTAACCTTAAGCCCAGTTGAGAGATGAAAACATCTAAGGATTCTAGCAAGGTTAAGAAGATTGATTCTTGACCATTCCCCAATAAATATGGCATCGTCTGTGTAAAACAAATGCAATATCCAAGGCCCTCAATTTAGGAATGAAATACCCTGGAAAATACCAAGTTCACCAGCTTTGTGCCTGGCCGCATTTAGCGACTCCATTGCAAGAATGAATAAAAACGGGGTCAATGGATCACCTTTTCTCACATCCTTGTTAACCAAGAATTCATCTGTCGGTGAACCATTAAATAGAACTTATGTTTTGGATGGGAGATATCTAGAAATCCATAGTCTCTAACGCGAAGGAAAGCCTAGTTGAGACATAACTGAATCAAGGAAGCTCCAACTTAGAGAGTCAAAGGATTTGTTAAAATCAACTTTGAAAAGGAGAGCCTCATTGTTGTTTCGATTTAGCCAAGAAAGTGCTTCATTTATCATTAATGACCCATCCAGTATGTTGCAACCTGCAATGAACGCGGTTTGTTCTTCATCCATAATAGAACCGATGACCATTTTTAGGCGATTTGCGAGAAATTTTGAAATTACTTTATATATATAACCAATTAAATTAATTGACCTATAATCCGAGAGTGAGAGAGGGTCGTTTACTTTCAGGACCAATAAAATAAATG